AGATATTTTTTGGCAAATGTGAGACGAGCCTTTGTGTTCTTTTTGGTCAGCAGTGGCTTTTGCCTTGGAACTCTCCCATGGATGCTGTTTTTGCCCAGTCTCTTTCTTATTGTTGAATCATGAACACTGACCTTAATTGAGGCAAGTGAGGCCTGCAGTTCTTTAGATGTTGTTCTGGGTTCTTTTATGACCTCTTGGATGAGTCGTCGTTGTGCTCTTGGAGTAATTTTGGTTGGCCGGCAACTCCTGGGAAGGTTCACCATTGTTCCAAGTTTTCTCAATTTGTGGATAATGGCTCTGACCATGGTTCGCTGGAGTCCCAAAGCCTTAGAAAAGGCTTTATAATCCTTTCCAGACTGATACATGTCAACTGTTTTGATTCTCATCTGTTCTTGAATTTCTTTAGATCGCGGCATGATGTGTTGCTCTTTAAGCATGCTTCACTTTGTCAGACAGTTCGATGCTCCATTCCATTCCGGGCATCGAAAGGTTCTATTTAAGTGATTTCTTGATTCAACAGGTCTGGCAGTAATCAGGCCTGAGTGTGGCTAGTGAAATTTAACTCAGCTTTCTAAAATAATGTGGTTAATTACTGTTCTTTCATGATTTAACAGGAGGGGGCAATTAATTTTTCACGTAGGGCCACGTAGGTTTGGACAGCTTTTTTCCCTTAATAAATGAAATCATCATTTATAAGCTGCATTTTGTATTTACTGGCATTATCTTTGTGTAATATTTAAATTAGTTTGATGATCGGAAACATTAAAGTGTGACAAACATGCAAAAAATAAGAAATCAGGAAGGGGGCCAACACTTTTTTACACCACTATATATATAATTATTTAAAAAATGCATTTTACGGTGAACGCAGTAGTCAGTAGGCTAAGCACACGTGACGCGCCATATTTCCGCATCGGACAACTACCCATGAAAAGACATCAGCAATCCGGTGCAGAGAATAAAAAAAAAAAAAAAAAATGAGACCCGACCATCACTTCCAGAAACATTCATACTCCTGTTAAAGTTTTTTTATATTTTATTAAAGTTCTATTTTGACCCTTATAGTAGATGTTTTTTTTTTTTATTATTTTTTTTTTTACTTCCATAATATTTGACGAAGGGGGCACAAAAACTGCAAGAAGAGAAAATAGAACACGCTTCTGCACTCCAGCGCTGTTTTCTGTGCTGCACAGACAAAGCGCACGCACAAAAGCCGAAAATCATAGCCATGGGTAACTGTCTAGAACTACAATTGTAATTTGTAAATAATATAATTTAATTCAAATTTATTTATTTGTTTACTTTTATATTTTATTAAAGTTCTATTTTGACCCTTATAGTAGATGTTTTTTTTTTTTATTATTTTTTTTTTTACTTCCATAATATTTGACGAAGGGGGCACAAAAACTGCAAGAAGAGAAAATAGAACACGCTTCTGCACTCCAGCGCTGTTTTTTCATGTGTCTTGCACTGAGGAGAGGCTTCCGTCGGGCCACTCTGCCATAAAGCCCCGACTGGTGGAGGGCTGCAGTGATGGTTGACTTTCTACAACTTTCTCCCATCTCCCGACTGCATCTCTGGAGCTCAGTCACAGTGATCTTTGGGTTCTTCTTTACCTCTCTCACCAAGGCTCTTCTCCCCCAATAGCTCAGTTGGGTCATCCCAAATGTCTTCCATTTAAGGAATGGAGGCCACTGTGCTCTTGGGAACCTTAAGTGCAGCAGAATTTTTTTTGTAACCTTGGCCAGATCTGTGCCTTGCCACAATTTTGTCTCTGAGCTCTTCAGGCAGTTCCTTTTGACCTCATGATTCTCATTTGCTCAGACTTGCACTGTGAGCTGTAAGGTCTTATATAGGTGTGTGGCTTTCCTAATCAAGTCCAGTCAGTATAATCAAACACAGCTGGACTCAAATTAAGGTGTAGAACCATCTCAAGGATGCTCAGAAGAAATGGACAGCACCTGAGTTAAATATATGAGTGTCACAGCAAAGGGTCTGAATACTTAGGACCATGTGATATTTCAGTTTTTCTTTTTTAATAAATCTGCAAAAATGTCAACAATTCTGTGTTTTTCTGTCAATATGGGGTGCTGTGTGTACATTATTGAGGAAAAAAATTAACTTAAATGATTTTAGCAAATGGCTGCAATATAACAAAGAGTGAAAAATTTAAGGGGGTCTGAATACTTTCCGTACCCACTGTACGTGCACACTGGACTGTGCTCTCTTTCTCGCGTTTCTTAAACATTCGAATGGACAAATACACACAGAATTATATCAAAATATCTCTTAAATACAATCGGTTATGTCTTAAGTGAACGCAAAGAGCTGAGAAAGAAGGGTGTATTGGATCCGTGCATTGACAGCAGTCGCTGCCTCCAGTCATTAATGTTAATCAAAGAACAAAAGAAAAGAAAATCCCTCACTGATCTTGACTGAATCACTCTTGTAACCTCTGTTTATATTTAATTTGCCCGTTGTTCGGTGCTGACTGTAATGGCAAAGTGCATCTCTGTATGCGATTATTTTGGAGATGCGTTCCAATATAATTGATCCTTATTTAGGGTATAGGCCTATTCTATTTTCATCTGCAGTTTAATAAAAGTTAAACAGAAAAAAAAACAAATAGTAGCACTGCATGTGTTTCTGAATATTTATTTAAACAGACTTTTAAAACATGAGTTATAATTAAAATACACAAATTCCTTCACAGCCTATTTAGTGCCCATATTTTTACATTTACACATAGTGCCTTTATTTTTACAGATTTTTTAAACAGTGTATACAGTATAATTATGTTTAATTAAGCTGAGATATAGCACTATAAATTCTTAATTCATTTAATTTAACTATAAAGTTTTGTTGCAAATGGATGAAGACATTATAGGCCTATATCTCAGCTTGCCCCTAAACATGCACGCGTTCGGAGTTTTGGCAGCCCAACACTGAATATTATATTGTGACTGTTGTATTTTGATTCATAAAATTAAAATACAAGAATTAACTTTAAATTACCCCTGCTTCTAAATAAAGCAGTTATTTTTACATTTACACATAGTGCCTTTATTTTTACAGATTTTTTAAACAGTGTATACAGTATAATTATGTTTAATTAAGCTGAGATATAGCACTATAAATTCTTAATTCATTTAATTTAACTATAAAGTTTTGTTGCAAATGGATGAAGACATTATAGGCCTATATCTCAGCTTGCCCCTAAACATGCACGCGTTCGGAGTTTTGGCAGCCCAACACTGAATATTATATTGTGACTGTTGTATTTTGATTCATAAAATTAAAATACAATAATTAACTTTAAATTACCCCTGCTTCTAAATAAAGCAGTTATTTTTTTTATCTACAATTGTTATAATCAAGGAAATTAAACTTACCATCATGAAATGTGTCTACACGCGCGATAATGCCAAAAAGAAAGAGAAACATCAGAAATAGGCATATTTTATTCAAGACATTACTATATGATATCAACATGCATTTATCATTCTTACAATCACCGCCAGAATGTCCAACTTCACCATGATTAACTTAAAATTGGGTTCTATTATTTTTCCTCAACAGTTCTCCTCACAAAACTAAATTCATTTCAAACACAAATTTGATAAGTGTGGAAATTATTAGCAACACCAACATAACAGCAAAGCTTTCTGTTAGTTTAAGCACAAACTAAGAAAAGTAAAACCAAACTTTAATGTGGCAATAATTAAGACCAAACTTAACCTGGTGTGTGTTTATGGTGCATGTCGGCAATGTTGTCTCGACGGGGGCGGGGCGTAGTGGAGGTGGAGCTTGGGTAGACGATATTATCGGATATCGCGATATTTTTAAAGGCGATTATCGATAAGATATTTTTGACATATCGCCCAGCCCTATCAGACAACTTGCAAAATAGTAAAAACCAACATGACAAAGAATCATGATAAAACCGTGAATCGTGATATTTCTTTAAAAAAAACGTGATATGATATTGTTGCCATATCGCCCACCCCTAGATTGTGGGATATCAAAGGCAGCAAAGGATACATCTATGCTGCCTTAAGAATTAGATCAGAAGAAGGTACCTCCAGAGACAGAAAGTGAAGCAGAATTTAGATTTGGACGTGCCTTGATGCCTTCACGCCTTGGAATGCTGCCTGCGAAGGCAGCATTTTAGAGCGTTCAGATGCAGCCATTATACTTTTTACTGTTCTTCAGTATGTATGTTTGAATAAATATGTTACGTTTTTATGACAGAAAAATAAATATAAATATTTTAAAAAAGACTAATTGGAGTAGAAACATAATTATGCAATTATAAAGTTAGTATTATAACCAGGGTGCATTTGTAAAAAAAGCTGAGGGGGGATGCTTTTGAAAACTTATTTCTCTCTCCATAAGCGGAGGTTGACCCAATTCCAAGTAACCTAACTTTTTGAAACTCTGAATCAGTTAAAGTGCTATGGGTTACGAAAGGTTTATATTTTGGTTTTGGGAGTCCCCAACAACAGGCTGATATGCATGCAACGTCAAAAAAACACTTTCATTGTCTTATAATATGCATTTTTTTTTTTTTACCTTATTTGCTCAACAACTCCCAAATGATTCGCTCAACTATTCATTTTTCCAAACCCCTCCTTTGCGTGACGCTAATCTGCGGTGATTGGTCCAAATGGTCGGTTTTACTTCCATTCATGTAATGCCTGATAAAGCATGTGAGCACAGTGCTGTAGCTAGCTATTTTTACCGTTCCAAAAGCGGCACCTAGTGGCAAATAATAAATGGTGGGGGGGGGGTTCAAGTTTTCCCAGGTCTGCGCTCGCAACAAGCGGGCGGGCAGTATGCTGCTAATAACGCCCAGAAAATGCATTTATTTGATCTACTTTTCAACAGCAGGTGGCAGTAGTCACAGCGGTCGCAGTAGTCAGGCAGTCATAAGCAGAGAGAAGAAGAACAAAGCAACTCTCGTGTGTCCGCAGTCAGCTTCATCTTTGAATGAATTGTATCATGTAAGTGAGAAACCTTTACAGGATTTACCTGTTATTTTTGTCTGTCCGATATAGATGGCTTGGATGAAATTAATCGAGAAGTTAGCGATGTGGTTACGATTAGTCAGATCAATTGTGAGAAATGCATTACATAGAAAAAGAGCTTAATGAGTTAAAAGCTAACTAGCTAATGCATGCTTGTTCACTAAAGCAATATGCCAACCAGATCCGTTCATCCCTCGTCTTTAATAAAAATATTTGCAAAACAAATAAATCTGCAAGTAGTTACATTTTTACAAGCACATAAATGTAGTAATGCTCAGTCTATGTTGTTCATGACATAAGCCTAGCTTGTGTTTTAAGCTGATCTTGTTTTTTTTTACAGTAATGTAGCTCCTGACCCATTAATTTTGTTGTTTTGACAAGTGGACCTCTTCTGATGGTGTAGCGTTGCCAAGGTAACATCTATATGCTAATGCACTCCATAAAGTTTTCATTGTGTTTCGGACAGGCTGACAGATAATTTAATCACCTCAATAACGAAAAAATAACAAACACACAAATAAAATATTTCACAGCTTGCCCACCAGCATGTCTGTTTCCGTTATTATAAAGTGGGGTGGACAGGAGTACTCCATTAGCACACTGTCTGAGGAGGACACTGTGTTGGATCTGAAACAGTCCATTAAATCTCTCACAGGAGTTCTCCCAGAACGACAGAAGCTCCTGGGATTGAAAGTGAAAGGTGAGCAGCATTAAAGCAGCACTATGTAACTTTTTCTTTGTTCAAAATTTGCAAAATGTATATAATGAGCGAGTACATTATGAATTCATCTTCCAAACTGCGTTTTTGTCTTATTCCGAATCACTATGGTACACCTATAATAAGTACTTATATTTGGACTATTGTAGCCTGGTCGGGTCGTCACCATTGCGGAGTAACACATACCTGCGTGAATAGCCATAGACAAACTTAGAGAAGTAGCTCCGGTTGGAATGTTCTTGCGCGGGATGTGGGCAGTTATGTTTAGAGCCCGACCGATATGGGTTTTTTGGGGCCGATACCGATATTAGGGAGTAAAAAAAAAGCAGATACCGATATATCGGCCGATATTCTTTGTGTATATTATACTACAGTACCAGTCAAAAGTTTGGACTCTTTCCCATTCGTGTGTCCAAACATTTGACTGGTACTATATATAGAATACAGTATATACATAAACAGAATATATATACATAAACACATTTTTTGCAAGGATCACTCAAATGTGGTGGTCAAACACTTATAATGGTGACGGAGATATGTAAGGGTATTTAACAAATAAACTTGCGATGAGTGCGATGCACAAAGTAACAAAGAATATTTATTTTACCATAGTAACATTTAAATTCTGGCTTAAGTAAATTTATCTCTCGCGAACGCGCCGGCGGATCTCCACCAAATTCGGGGATCCCTTCAGCTCGAGGAGCCCTCTCGAACGCCACCCTCCGCGCGTCGGTAGCCCCCCGGGATCGCTAGATCGGTCGGCGCCGGACCGCGAATTTAACCACCCGTAACTCCCGAGCCCTGGGGGCTATCCACGTGGGGGTGGTCTCATTCGAAAGAGGACATCGAGACGTACACTCGACTCGCGTTCGAGAGGGTTCCTTGAGCTGAAGAGATCCCCAAATTTGGTGCAGATTCGCCACGCCGTTACGGAGATATGGCCGTTCAAAGTTTCAATGGTTTTCGATTGACTTAAGCTTTAAACCGTTTCATCCAGGTCGCCAGTAGCAAACAATGGAGCGCTGGACAAACTAAGTAATTACACCATTTCAAGCATTTTATCTGCATTATATGTTCTGTGAAAAAAAAATTCATAGCGGCAGCATATTCGCCGATACGATATATCAGCGACAGGCTCATATCAGCAAAACGATATATCGGTCGGGCCGCTAGAGAGCCAAAGGTTACATAGTCATAGTGCTGCTTTAACAACACTGATACACAATATGAAAAGAAGAAAAAACAAAACACTTGTAACAGGTTGTTGTTTAATTCTCTTATTTTGTAAGGTAAACCAGCATATGATGATGTCAAACTGGGTGACTTGAAGTTGAAGCCCAATACCAAAATTATGATGATGGGAACCAGAGAAGAAAGTCTGGTAGGTAATACTATTGATTTTAATCATATATTTCTGAAAGCTGTTAAATGATGTAGCCTCCACCCAGTAATTTTTTTAACATGGTTAGATTTTATCTGATAAAATACAGTTTTAAAGCTTTCGATATTCGTAAAATAAGTTTTATTTTTTTGTGCAGAATCTCATAACCTTAGTTCCCTTTTCATAGGAAGATGTCTTGGCGCCTCCACCAGAAAATGATGATGTGGTCAATGACTTTGACATTGAAGAGGATGTAACTGAGGTTGAAAACAGGCCAGTGACACCCAGTTATTCATTAATTTATTCATTCATTCTAATGTTATAATGTTACAAAGTTTTTTATTTATTTATTTATTTTTAACTTTCTATATATCAAAGAATATTTGTTTTCTTTTCATACAGAGAGGAGAATTTGGCCAAGATAGCTCGTCGGGTAAAAGACTATAAAGTTGAGGAGTTAAATCCCCCAAGACCTGGAAAAAGATTGCTCGTTCTAGATATTGACTATACGCTCTTTGGTGAGTCTTTAAAACCCAGACACATGCTTCTGATTATATATATAGCTATGAGTAAATCCATCTAGCCCAGGCATTCTAAAATCCAACTGGACCATGGTACATCTGACAACGGTAGAACCATTTTATAATTTCTACAGTTTAAAGTCAGCAGTGTGTCAACATAACAGACCACAAGAACAAAACGCCCTTCATTCAAGCCCTTATATGCTCTGTTCATGTTAATTTTCTCCCGTTAAAGATGGAAAGTGCTACAAGAGTAAGAGCAACCATTTTAATAGCAGTATCAAAAACCCTGTGAGCAGCAAAATAGATCAATAACTAAAAGACTGCAGAAATAGAGAATGCCACAAATACAATTGTCTTTATTTCATACTCTGACCATTCAAATGAACCAGGTTTGTGACAAGACCGTTTTTGGTCTATATTCAGGGTTTCCACGGGGTCTTAAAAAGTCTTAAATTGTACAATAAAATCTTAATTTTGATTTCAAGAGGTCTTAAATTTGGGGAAGGAAAGACCAGAATTGTGATATGGCTAAATGTGATGATTAAACTTCAAAAGGCTATGATTTCATTAAATAAACACAGCGCTGCATGTTCAAAGTCTGGTGCTGCTGCTTTGTGTTCTTCCGTTACCGGGGAAACAGTCATATTTCTACCAAACGCTCCACCTTCTGGCAGAGAATGAATGTGCAATTTCAATAAAACTGTTGTTTTGATCAGAGTTCAGACAAATGTAAAAATCCACCCATGTTTTTACACTGCACAGGGTGTCCTTAAAATGGCTTAAATAACGTTTTCCTAATATAAGGCCTTAAAAAGTCTTAAATTCGGATTCGATGGGTCTTAAATATTTTTGGTCTCATTACCGCTAAAATATCTTCAGTCTGACGGACCTAATGACTTTACAATCATTGGACAGACCGACCCCGCGGTAAGTTACTGCGTCATCAGAGAGAGCTGCAGTAAGTTATCAGAATACAGAACACAAGCTCGCGCTGAGGCTCACTCTGTTTGTCTCGAGACTTCAGAACAAATGAGCGTGACCGCACACATAAACTCAGAAGAAACACACTGAGGTAAAAATTCAAAATGTTTAGTTTATTCATAACATGATATAGTTAAATAATACCATGACAAGTGAGCTATTTTACTCAATATTCTCACGACGCAACAAAAAACATTCTAAACACCTACAGAGTGCACGCATTACGTGAAGTCTAGCGCTCTGCCTGATCACTGCATGATTGAGTCTATTAAAATACATTCAGAATGATCACAAATTCAAGACATGGGGGCAGAAAATGTGTATATTTATACTCAAGTTCACACGGAAGAGTGCCTTTTTTTCTACAAAAATTACCATATACAAATGTGATATTGATTTTTTTTTACAACAGTTCAATGAATTAGAAGGTTTATTAAGAGACTTACGTTTTAGACACCATATTGCTTGTTTTTGCACTAATTCGCCAACAAAAATAATTCCAAACAAAGCCACAACGCTGTTTTGCGTCTATGAGCAACATGACGGCGTTTCATTCTTGAATGAATCAACCGTGTAAATGAGTCGGTTCAATCGCAATGACTCACTTATTAACAGTGACTTGCTGCCACCTGCTGGCGGTTTTAATTTCAAATTTAAAGTATCTTTTCATTTTTAAAATTATTAAATTATGTTTAATATATCCAAACATTATTTATGCATTTGTAACTGCAGGTTAAATGGTAAATATGCAGATTTAAGTATGTAAAAGCTGAAAGAACACTGATGAAAATATTGCTTCAGAATAAATTGTTTACTCCACCAAAAATCTTAGTGATGCAGTTATTTTGTGGGGATATTTTGTATGGAATAATGTCTGCTGACATGAAAAGTTCACTGTATATCGTAGTAATAAATACCATTTATTACAGCATTGATATTTTGTTTTCTTTTTAATTTATACACATTAAATATTACATATATGTATGTAATAAAATGTGTATTTCCATTACAGGTTTAGGTCTTAAATTTTATATAAAGTGGTATTAAAAAGGTCTTTAAAAGTCTTCAATTTAACTTGTTCAAGTCTGCAGAAACCCTGACTGCAAACAAGCAGAGCTTTAAATGTGAACTGGTGGATCGATAAGAAGACAATGCATTATAAAAATCAAAACAGTATAGGGGTGTGCAATATGTATAGCCTGCGATAATATCGTAATTGTTGTTTTAACTATGTGCAATTTGATATTATCGAGTATATCAAAAAAAGCAAATAAAAAACACCTACAGAGTGCATGCATACATTTGGTGATGAAGTCTAGTAAGTTAACATAGGTTAAACTAGTGTGCATACGCATTTAGAGTGAGTTCTTTCACTGCATGAATCAGTCTATTAAAATGCATTTAAAATGATCACATAATTCAAGATATGAATATTAAAAAGATATTTCAATGTTTTATGTAGGGATGCACCGAATGTTCCGCAACCGAAATTATTTGGCAGAAAATAGCAAAAAAAGCTCTTTCGGTGTTCGGCCGAATAAGCGAAAAGACAGAATAAATTGTACCGAACAATGATATGACGCGATCAAATAGCAACCAGTGCAGAGTGAGAGGCGCGCACTCTTTATAATGTAGCACACGTCAGCAGTGTGGAAGCATTTAAACTGTCGGAGAAAGACGCAAAAATCATCACAAGCACCGACAGCGAGAGACTGTTTAGGACTGCATCGCATGTCTTCAATGAGAAGAGGAAGGTGTGATTGTTGCTGGTTACTGTATGATGATTGAAATCGCGAAATGGCCTTAAACAATTACTAAATAAACTGCAGAACGTTATGTTTTCTAATACACGCGCGCATTGCATGTATTCTGACAGCGCTGCACGAACTCGAACACAGATCTGCTTGTTAACCAGGGTTCAAAGTCCAAAGCGCGAGGAAAATCTGAGCTGATACAGTCGTCAGTTGCTCAGTCACATTTTTATGAATTTTTACAAGGCATGTGACAATGCGATACATACAACGTATTCGTAATGAGACTCATTTATAAATCTGTTGTCAACAAAAATAAAAGTTGAGAAAAAGCACTCTTATCAACATTCATAAATGTTAGTATTGTAATTTTACGGTTCTGTAAAATAAAATAAAAAGTAAAACAATACTAATGATAATAATCATCACAACAGCTCTGTTTTAATACATTTATTATAACATTCACACATAGTGTTCAAATTAGGATCTGTAATATTTTCTAATGTTTTAAAAGAAGTCTCTTCTCAGCAAGGCTGCTTTTAATTGTACAGCAAAAAAAAATACATGCCCGATGGGGGTCTGATGGCCAAAAATTATTTTACTAACTTATTAATTTTAAGTTAAATTGTGCTTTGTTGGTATAGTGTCTGCTAGAATGTTAGAAATGTTCAGTGTTAAATATTTTTAAATTGTTGTTTTGTAATAGATTTTTTTCTATGAAAAGCAAGACAAAACAGTAAAAAGCCAATTTTGGCTTTTTAATTTATGCAATGGTAAAAAAAATTTTTGCAAAATGGGGGGGAAAAATTTTTAAAAACGTATTCGGCCCAGTGTTTAGTTTTGTTCGGCTTCGGCCAATAATTTTCATTTCGGTGCATCTTTAGTTTTATGTTTAAAATATCAAAACATTATTTAGCTATGTATTTGTAACTGGTTAAAGTATCCCATGTCCCTCAAAGCTGCATTAAACAGTCAAGTCAAGTCACCTTTATTTATATAGTGCTTTTAACAATACAAATTGTGACAAAGCAACTGTACAGCATTAATTAGGAAAATAGTGTCAATAATGCAAAATGACAATAGTAAACACTAATTTTTCAGTTAAAGGCAGTTCATCATTGAATTCAGTGATCTCATCATCCAGCTCAGTTCAGTTTAAATAGTATCTGTGCAATCAAGTCAACGATATCGCTGGAAATTAAGTGTCCCCAACTAAGCAAGCCAGAGACGACAGCGGCAAGGAACCAAAACTCCATCGGTGACAGAATGGAGAAAAAACCTTGGGAGAAACCAGGCTCAGTCAGGGGGCCAGTTCTCCTCTGGCCAGACGAAACCAGCAGTTCAATTCCAGGCTGCAGCAAAGTCACATTGTGCAGAGGACTCAAATGGCTCCTGTGGTCTTGTCCTGGGGGCCGTCTGAGACGAGGTCTTTACTGGGGATCTGTATCTGGGGCTCATCTAGTTGTCCTGGTCTCCGCT